TATATCTCATTCCAAAGCAGGTCACCTCCGAGTCTCAGCATCGATTGCTGGTGGGTAGCTGATTGCACATTGTGGCATTGGGCCATTAGGAAGTTTGACTGACATTCCTTTTGGAACACCTGACGAATTGCATTCGATCACTGCTCTTTATCCTTACATATAATGCCTGGAATTGTGTTCTGGATCACGCACTGCACGTCGCACACCCCGCCAATGTAAAACATAAATAGTCCACCTTGTTTGTCCAGCCTCTGACACATTTTTTGGGCATTTCTTGCTTATCTGCTCTGCAACAGATAAACCTGTTTGGAGGGCTGGCTGATGGCTTCACTGTGCGAGACGCTCAATAAACAGCATCTGCATTGTCCACAGCTTTTGCATACGCTGATTCCAGCAGAGAAGCAACATCACGTGCCTATAATACTGACCATATTCACGTCAGAGTGCTCACCGGTGCCCTATCACTTTGGGCCCAGCTCCACTGTTGCTAAGGGCTCGGTACAATTTGCCTCTTCTCCACATCGCCAACCGCACCCAATTGATGCGTGTGTTTAAAAAAGACATCGGACCTTGTACACTGTAAGTGATAAGCACAAGATAGAGCACGATCAAAAGTGTGAAAACCTACACTGTATTTGGTGAAACGTGTTTTTTTTGTAGCTGTAGCGCCGTTGTTAGGATTTGGACAGCCGTTCACTAATTGTTGCAGGTTAACTTATAATAATCCTTGCATTCGATATGGCGCCTTATCACGTCTTCGAGGCGTCTCAAAGCACTTCACAGAATGTACTTTAAAATGAATTGACTGCGTATTTTGTGGCCACAACTTGGCAGCCAATTGCACACAGCAGCGTCCCACAAACAGTCGTGGATTGAGTGACCAAATTATGCATTATTTTTGATGGGGAATATTAACCCCCAGAAAGTGATCTGCCAATCGTCTAACAACTTGCAATGTTAGATGGCATTTAGAATAATTATCTGTCAGATCTAATTACAGCTTGTAACCACATCCACTAAAGACTGGTAAAATTTGCTGTTGGAACATACATATCTGCTGCATTTTCCTACTAAATGTCAGAGTATAAAAATGTGGTGTAACCGATGTGCACTTTTCTCTCTTGGCCAGTTACCTCCCTTTCACTTGAGGTGTTGAACCATTGCTGTGTTACGGTTTGACCCTCCAGCTCCAGCACTGTTCAGCCATCAGAAATGGTATCACTGTGGAAAGCATCACATACAAGCCATATTGTGTCTTCATCTAACACCCACACGCTTTACTGCAGAAGACATTGATAACAATTTGCATTTATATAGCATCCCTCACGCAGGATAGAGCGTTCAGGCGTGGGACACCCTGGCATAATCTGGGGGTGGGGGGTGGGGGGAGGGACTGAAGCCGTATCTGAAGGGCTCAGATAATGTAACGCACACTCAATACAACACTGAAGTGTCAGTCTGGATTGTGAGCTCAAGTTGCAGTGTGGGCTTCGAACCCACAACCTCCTGACCCAGAGGCAAGAGTGCTACCGACCGAGTCAAGTTGAAAGACATCAGATTGTGGTACTTGACTGGAAGGGCAATGGTTGGATGACTCCCCCAGACAGTACTATGCACTTAAAACAACACATTGCACTTATATAGTGCTTTTCACTTTGCGAGGATGTTGTAAGGCACTGTGGTTAACACTGTACACCAAGATAACAAGTCATGCTTTACGAAGGAGAATTCATTGCTACATGAAAGGCAGCTGACAGCCATCTGAAATCAGCAGTTCCTTGTTGGGCCAGTGGGGGGGGCCAGCCACGTCTTCTAGAGTTGGCTCTTCACTGAGCTCAACGGAAACGCATCCTGGTTGATAGGCTGAATGGCCTCTTTCTCGGCTGTAATTGCTATGATTTCCTGTGGTGCCACCTAGAGGTCAGAAAACCAGGGAACATTGCAATCAGGTTCTGAAGCACAGGAAAGCAATGCTTCCAGCCCGTTATGGCCTCGTTAGAGCACTCGCTTCGCAAGGTTCGATTCCCAGGCGGAGCGAAACCTTAGGTAAGTTTCCTTGCTCCACGCACATACACACACACACACACGCGCCTCTGTTTACCTAGGAGTAAGAAGGAATCCGGCGCTTAGTCCATTAGCGGATCGCTTTCCAGGGGTAATAATCCCTAAAAAAAATTTAAAATTGGATCACTTGATCCACGACAGTAAGTGGGACACTCCTCTGTGCAATTGGCTGCCACGTTTCGCCCACAAAATACAGTCAATTCACTTTGCAATGTATTCCGTGAAACACTTTATGAGACTTCTCAATGACTTGAATGAGACGCTATATCAAATGCAAGGATTATTATTATAATAATTACTATTATTAATTCTCAGGAATAATGGTCAGGGCTTGAGTACTTCTTGCCTGTGCCATTTTGTGCTAAGGCTTGGATAACTTAGAAGCCTAAGTGAAGAGTCAAGGCTCCATTCCATAGTCCAGTGCATTTTAATCCCCATCCCGAGCAAACAGTAAATACTCGTCGACCACTGAAAGGCCTGGAAAGAATGGTCTTTCACACAAATGTAAAATGAAGCAAATAAAATACAAAAAACTTTTTTGAGTTTATATATGCATTTAATCTTTCATAGAGCAAGTAAGCTGCTATACAGAGTGCCATTTCTTTTACATTCTTCCATATGCAGTTTCCAGATTTCCAAATGCTCCAGCAGTTTAGGTGCCTTACGGTATTTCAAAAATATAGAAAAGTAATGGAAGATTTTCTTTTGTTAGAATATAATTTAAAAGGACATTACATCACATAATTAGGGCTTCGAACTTAGAGCAAAGTTATTGGAAAATAACAGTCCATCGTAAGGTACAAATTACAGATATCTAAAAAAAGGGACACCGTCCACATCATAAAATACTGTTTTATTTGTGTGGATTTTACATCGATTAGCAACACATCTAAAAGCAACTCATTAAGCTTCATTTATATATTCCACAGGACAACAGGTTGCTGCTCTTATATGTAGCGCCGTTAGCAAGGTGCAACAAGTTTAACTCAAATTTGTAAAGCAATGCATGTCGGCTGCATAAATTCTGCAGAGAAAAGGTACTTTCCTTTGCAAAGTTATCAAAAGTATAAAGCTTGGATAACTAGTTCTATAATTAAAAGAAAAGGTGTGTGAGTGAGTGAGTGTGTGTAAAAAAAAATGAAACTAAAGTTGATCTAGCTGTTTATTTCTAGTGATTTGATGTGGTGTTGCTTCCTTTCAGAGATGCTTTTCTGTACCCTAATTCTAGATCCCAACTACTTCATTCCATTTATCGACGTACAGTATTCAGAATCAAACAACCATTCACATTGCTAATTGGGATTCTGATCACGGACCCCAATGCCCGATTCTAGTGGTTTATTCTTGTTCTTGAAAATTCATGTAGTGGCTTCTCTTTACTTAGCTCATGAACAAACTTAAACACATCTTGGAATTCAGTATGAAAACACAGGTATTAGCTTCAATTGCCAGCTGAACAAAATATTAGTCATAGCTCTATCACTTGGGATCACTAATCTCTACTGAACGGTGAAGGATGGATGTGGAGAAAATGTTTCAAGATGATAGAGAAATATTTAAATCTTTCTTTTTTTTTTGCTGCTTACAAAAAATACCATCCTTCGATCATTCCGAAAACATAAATTCCAGTTAAAAATGCATTTGCAAAGCTCCCGCCTCGCTGGCTCAGCGTGGTTTGTCCCGTGAGTAGCTGAGCCATATAGATGGGAAGATTCCAGGTTCAATCCCTGGTCTTTCTGAGTTGACTGATTGGAGATGACTGCACTAAGGGGGTGCTACAACTGGTCTTATGGGTTGAGTATAGGGAGGGGAGAAGGCTGCCAGAGTTCCTGCTCCTGATCACCAAAGGTGCACAAAGTGCCGAGCCCAAGCAAGACAGAATCGAGTCTCCCATCGTCAAACAGCACATCAGCGCTGACCGACAATGCTCACACACCTAAACGAGCACTTTGGCAAGCTTCTAGAGGGTGATCGATGCTTGTGGAATTGTACCCCAATAGAAGGGAAAAGGAATTTAAACGCATTTAGCAGAAGAGGGAGGGCGGGGAGGAAATTGGTGGGGGGGGGGGGGGAGAGGGGGGAGAAATAATTAAGAATGCATTTCCAGCTCTCAAAGTTCTCGTTATTTTGTTCAGCAATAAGCAGAAGGTTTGTGGAATTCGCACCATGGAAGCAGAAAATGGACAAAAAAAAATTATGATAAGAAATGTAAGTCACTGTTTGGATGTACCTGCCTTTGGACCATTTCCCTAGTTCTTAACTAGGCAAAAATCTTACTGTATTACTACCACACATTGCGTGGTACACTCTGCTCTGAATCCGCTTGATAAACATTGAACATTACAGGTAACATAACAGGAAATGCACGATGAGAAAGGTAAGTTTTGAAAGGCGTTTTCTCAATGAATGAAAGCATGCGGATTTTCTGAAGATTCACAATGTGGTGAGATGACAAGACTAGAAATTAGGTGTCGTGTTTGTAGCTATGAGGTTATGATTGCAATGAAAATGGATGTGTACAGTGACTTACCGCACTTAATACCAATCCTGGCATCAGTTGTCAACAGTGGAGATTCCCTCGTGGGGTTAAGACGACAAAGCCGCTTAGTTGAACCAGAACAAACCATTAGTCTAAGAAGCCTGGTCCAAACCGCTGTCTCACTCCAGATGTGGCAAACTGGATTGTGGACATAAGGTCACACGTTGGGAACAGTGGGCATCATCTAAACTCGAGCCTACGTTTGCAAAAGCAACAAGCAAGTGTTATCTTGTAGATCAATAGTTTCTCTAGAAGGTTGGGGGGATGGAGGGGGCGGGATGGAAATCAGAAAGAAAGGATTAAAAAAAGATTAAGAAAAGAAAAATTAATTGAACGGGGGTAGATGACAAAATACTGGTTTCATCCTTGTGCTCCCGCTTAATTTCTCGTCTCATGCATTTCGAATAGTATTTTCTTCATGCCTTTGTTTCAACATTCTGCAAGCCAAACCACAGTCCCAAACATCAAATTATTGTAGTTACCACTCGTCATCCGTTTTACCTCGACTCTTTTCCCCGTCACTCAATCCCACCACACACCCTGCTTTTCCCTTTTTTTTTTTGGTCGCCATTTTTCGCCTTCATTTGGTTACCTCATGGATTTTCACTCGGATTTTAATCACTAGCAAGTTATATATCACCAAAAAAGTGCAGTATTATTTGATAAAAAAAAACTATGAACACAACTCCAGTTTTGTATACTCTAGTGTGTTAATATCAGATCTACCACAAGCCTGTGTTAACCTAGGTAATCCTTAAGCAAGGCATTCCCTGGTCCCTCATTGTGTCATTAGATCCTTACGTTGCATGCTTGTAACATTTATTTCATTTGTATTAAAACTTTAAGGTAGAAACTTGCTTTATTGGTAACGGGTTAAGTCATCTGTGTGTAAATGTATAAAATACCCACGTTTTGGTGGATTTAGTGAGATGAGGTTTTTCCTTTTGCAACTCAGATTAAAATTAATTCCACAGTATAAGTGTTGCAAGTCTAGAATTCACTAGAACGTGATTTGATTTTGGCAAAAAAAAGGTTAATCACTAAAACAAAATTTGCGATAAAATACTTTTATGCCAGATTAATAACCCCTATATAGTCTTGCCCTTCTCTTCTATCCATGTCAGTGCACAGTCAATTGATGTTTAGCACGTTTAGCTGAACAACACGTCAGTATCAACCATTAAAGACTGACATCAACCTGACCAGCGTTTCAGTTGTGCAGTATCTTCACAAGCTGAGCCGTTACGCCTCCACCTTTTCCTTCTTTTTGTTCTTTTTCAGGAACGATGGGGTGCGGAATTTCTTCTTCTTCTTTGAGGGAGATTTGAGGGGGATCCTTCCGGGGAGAGGGTGTCGCTGGCGTTTGAATCTATCTTTTCGGCGGGCTTGACGGAGATCTCTACACTCTCCGCAGTGCTGGTCGTCAATTGGCTGATACGCTTCGTCAAATCTTCCGCTAAGTCGTCTTTTCCACCGTTCACCACCACGACTGGCCTAGCATTTCCCTGGTGATCTCCGGCCTCAAACACTTCACAATTTGCTTGAAAGGGAAAAGAAACGTTGTGAATAGAAGCGACGTGATCAGAGTGTCAGATTCCGCATCGCTGTTTAAAAGGATGGAAGGAGACAGAAAACTTCAAAACTGGAGCTTAAAAAATGGCATGAAAATTGGGACATCTGAGGTGACAATCAGCACTGGCGATAATTAGCATGTTATTGTTCTCTACAATAATCATTATTCAAACAGAATATATGCTGAAGTCTCATCAGTTGACAAAGGTGGGATTTCACTGATATGTCATATGTGGGTCTCAACTTAGTAACACTGGGAACTAATAGACAGAAATTATTCCAGTTACAGCAGTTGAGAACAGGAAACGGATACCGCACTGGAGGATACGTACAGGTGGAGGCAACCTGAATCTGCTATTGGCAAAGATATTTGTGTACATGCCTCGCTGTAAACTTGTCACTTTCTTTGAAAGCCGGCAATGCAAAGACAAAGTTGTCAAGGTAAAAAAGTGCCCTTGTCATCAGATCTTGACATGAGGCAGAGGGGACTAAAAGGGTTTGGCAAGGGAGTAAGGAGTGTGTGGGGTATAGATTGTGTGGAGTATAAACATCGGTTGGACTGGTTGCACCGATTGACCGGTTTACTTCTGTACGGTTCTTTGTAAATCTATGTAGATAACGACAACCATTAAACTACGGCTCAAGCGTCCCACCTTCTAACTTTGCTGCTGTGACTTGTGGGGATTGAGGTGGTGATATCGCAGAACCATCATCTGATGTTAGTTCCTGCTCAGTATCTGCAGAAGAAGAGTTAGTGTTTTTTATATAAAAAAGTGTGCAAAGATTTCATGCTTTTTAGTACAATGGAAAAACTGTACACGTATAAAGAATAAAGCCAGTTGCACTCTCATTTGTTGAAACCAACTTTGTCCGACTGTTCCTTTATGTATCAAAGTATTTTAGGAGTAAACAGTTTATGGTTGGTATGACATTTTCCCTAAAGAGGTGTGTAAATTAGTTACATAAATAAATCTACATGAATCATTAATCAGTTTCTGTGCCACTCCAACACCTCAAGTATTCTTGTGAAAATGGGGCAAATTCTAATTATTTTCTTTTCAAATTGCAATCATAATTATGTTTCAGGTTAAATGTCACCATTCATATCACTAATCTTCCCAAACCACCAATTAGAAACAGAAACTATTTCATTAAATCAGTCATCGTTTCCAGCTCATCTTAGCTGGCTTCATTAAATTTTTATTAGCCTTCAGTTCTGTTCATTTTCTTTTTATAATAATCCTTGCATTTGATATAGCGCCTTATCACGTCGTTGAGATTTCTCAAACTCTTCACAGAATACATTGTAAAGTGAAACGTCTGTTCTAAACACCGAATTCTTTGATAACTCCCATATGTGAAGCAACTTTCACCTTTCTCCTGAATATTTTACCTGCCTTCTTCTTGAAATCCTATTCGCAGCAAATCAAAATCAGAAAGCACACAGACAGTTTAAATTTAATTTGCCACCTGTCTGCTCAGTTAGTTGGATAAACATTCCAAATCCTCTTACAGATCTTTGACTGCATTCTCTTATCACTTTCCCAGACTTTTGTGCTGCCAGAAAATTTGACTGAGATATAGTTGGTTTCAACCTTTAACTCACTGAAGTAGATTAGAAACAAAAATAATTTGACCACTGACCCCGGTGGGACACTAACCCCCAGAATGATATTACAACTCTGTTGTCTTCGCAACTTGATGTGTTTGTCTACTGGCTTGTGTTCTTTGAACAACACGTACACATCGAGTCTGAGGTACAGTGAATCAGTGAGATTTCTCAAACATTGAACATGTTCCAACAATTGGAGAGATTGCATTGTAATTTGTGTCTGCTTGATATTCCCTCAATAAACACAGTCGCTTGTTCCCTGTACCTCAGACAGTGCTACAAGGTACATTAAGAATCAGTTAGTGGAAACATCGAAAACATGTACATTTCTATGAGAAGTGAGGTTACAAGTTAGTGAAGAATACATAGTAACTATACAACATGATGATTAATGTAGTTAATGGAGACATGGAACAAAAAATTACAGCTAAAGTGGTTCAGGTGATAAAATTGTACAGACAGAAATTATAGACAACTTGGGTTCTCAGTGAAATGTTACCTGGCTACATGCTATGGAAGAAAAAGCTTGCCAACCGTCGGTCGCAGTAAACTCAAGCAAAGCGGTTAAACTAGTTACAGCATGACACGCTCGGGTGTGTAACCTCACACTGAGAAAGCATGGAAACACAGTGCAGTGTTGTCTCTTACAACAAACAAGAGCAGTGACAGAGACAGGCAGTTTGGCTTCTCTCTAAACCTCCTAGTGACCAGCTGGATAGTGGCATTGGTAGACACTGAGTCCAAGAGGCCATTTGGAATGCTTATCTGGGAATTGATGCAAATAATAATAATAATAATCCTTGCATTTGATATAGTGCTTTTCACGTCGGGAGGACGTCCCAAAGCGCTTCACAGATCACACCGTAAAGTGAATTGACTGTATATTTGTGGGCAAACGCGGCAGCCAATTGCGCACAGCAATGTCCCACAAACAGTCGTAGATTGAAAATGACCAATTTATTATTGTTTTTGGTTTTGGAGGGATTATTATTAGGCTCTGTGTGGAGTAAGAAAACTTGCCCAAGGTTTCGCCCTGCCTGGAATTGAACTCAGGTCTCTCGCTTGCAAAGCGAGTGCTCTAACCCCTGAGCTACAGGACTCCACAAAGCAAAGGAAGATGAGGAAGAGGGAATCAGTTAAATTAGAATCAGAAAATTCAGAAGTCAGATTGTCATCAAACTCGATATAAATTAAAAAAAAACTACCTGACAGCAACTGAGAGTTGAGGGAGAGGTCCCTTGCCGAATGAGGCATTCAGCAGAAATAAGGTTGGAAATGGTGCATATGTGACAGGATTCATAAATATTGAACCTTGGCAGAATATAATGTGTGGCTCAATGACCTATGAGAACCCTGCATTTGGATGTGCAGGCAAAAAGATTCTGATGTACGCTATTACCAGCAGAAATTTACAATTCCTTTGGAAACCCTACATTTTCAAGAATGACTCATTCTTTTCCTATCAACCTTTATTCCCCCCCCCACCAAAAAAAAATAATCATGTGATGCATTTCAATTTGCAAATTTCTTTTGGTCAGCCAGGTGTCCTGACACATGTTGAAACCCACCACCGTACTGAAGAGTCTCCAAACCAACTGAGATTTCCATGTATCCCACCTACACATGGAAATCCCAGAGATAGATTGTTGGAATGGAAGGCGCGCTCTCTCCCTGGAGGGACGCCTCCTGCATACCTAATTCCGGAAAGTATGAGGCGCAGGTTGGCAAGAGCCAAGGCTTGGGGATAGTTAGTCAAGAGTGAAATTAATAGCTATGTACAATGTATGTCGAACCAGCAGAGGTCCCTATTTCCAGTTGATGAAGTTTTATACCAGGATCCTGGTGAACGCATGATCCTCCAGATCACTTTTCCACTTTTACTCTTAATGGACACAGTGTAAAAGATGTTGTTTTGCATATTGAAAGAAAAAAAAGACTTCTTATTAATATGCTAACTTTCTGATGAGTGTCTTAATCCAGTTTAGATAAATACCTGTATGGATAAATATCACCTAAATATCAGAAAATGATCTACAGTGAAATCCGTCTTCAACAACCTATCAGGGGGTCTGGGCTAAAGTGGTCTTTATATAAGAGTGGCCTCTGAGTAGTGCATGAAATGGGCTGTTCCCGGGTGGTTGTTAACAGGGGGTGGTTGCTGAATGGAGGTAGTTGCTTGAAAAGGTTGTACATATATATATTAATTCAATTTTATAATTATTTATTTAGAAAGGAGAAAAATCATAAAACACATCAAAAGCACCACATTACAACAGCCTTTGAAAGAGAAACGTCAGTTTTAAAATTCTAGTAAATTCAATCAGAACAATCTCTGCGGAAGGGTTTGTGAAAGTCCGTTAGGGAACACTGACTCGTGAAGAGAGAAAAAGAAAGAGGAAAATTTGGGAATCTAAAACAAAAGATGCTGAAAATTCACATCAAGAACACTGCATCCCAAACAGGTAGGATAACACCTGTGTTTTATCTTTTCAAACCTTACCAGTTTCCTCGGTACACTTTGTGTCCCCCCCCAGATATTTTGTGTTACCAAGTCTTCAACCTCTCTGCTCTAACTTTTGGAACTCCATTCCACAGTCCCTTCACCTCACTCCCTCCCTTGCCTCTTTCAAGACCCTCCTCTTTGACCGTGCCTTCGGTCACCCTCCTACCCCCACCCTCTCTGCCCTTTACCCCTCCTGATCCCATCCCCCAGCTCAGGTTCAAATCCTTGACTGTCCAGCACCTTGGGATGTCCCCCCGACCTGAAAAGCGCTGTGTAAATGTAAATTTGTTGTTATCTTTAATTGCTATAAACTGAACACAGTTGCATTTTTTCATCAAGTAAATCCTAATGCAGATATTAAATACACCATCGATTCCTTTACCATCTATTCCGAGCTGCCTCCGTTCAATTGTCTTTTTATACTCCTCCAGGTCATTCTCAGACAGGTAAGTGAATGGGTTTGGTGGGCCGGGTGGCACCAGTTCTTCCTCAGAGTCCAGCTGCATGGGCTAGGGAACAAATAAAACACAGAACAAAGGCCCATTGATGGATCTTAATGTTGTAATATTTTAACAAAGTCCTTTTTCAAAATGTTCTCTTCATTATCATATGCCTCTGTGGTTCTATGGGCACTGGTTGCACTCCATTACCCAAATCAAATAGCCACAGTCCATGTGTAAGCCTAGTGAGTTGAGCTTTGGCAGTATCAACTGTATAGTACAGTGTTGGCCAACCTGTGGCCCCTGGGCCAGAAGGGGCCCCCGAACATTTGTACAAGTCTAAGTAAGTCCGAGTTCGATCGGTAGTGTGTTTTTAGCTTTTTCGTGATTGAATATTTGCTGATTTATGGCATATGATCAAGGAGTCTTCTTAGTAGTCAAAGTACAAGGAGGATACAGGAAACCAACTCAGGGAAGCCAAATTGCAAAGAAGTTTACAATAACTTGTTTACAGGACAATCAAGACTATTCTGACTGCTTGACTACTTTGGTTTTATGCAAACTGTATGCTAGTCACAATTTTTGTAATCAAAAACCCATGGCTATGTATTTAACTTAAAACACAGAGATCACTTAATATTCCTTAAATTAGATAACTGGTACCCCTATTGAGAATTAGATTCAAAATAAAACCAATCACATTCTAGCCACAGTATCACACATCTGTCATTTTGTGGGCAAAATAGTGTTGGCATTGACTGGTCCAATAAAGAAAATGATTGTGAAATGTATAAATCCTGCTAATATTCATGGTTTGTAATAAAATAAACCGAAGGGCAAATGTATCAAAGCAAAGAGGGTAACCTTACCGGACTGCTTTTCTTTTCTATAACAATACCAGCCAGTAATTGTGACTGTGGACCTGCTGTCTTCAAATCATATCGATTCAGTTCACGAATCTAGACGGAGTAAACATCACGGTCAGTGGGCACTGGTTCAAACATGTATGTGTACAAGGGGAACGTGATACCCTCATAAACCTTACATGCCTTTGAGTTGATCAAAGGCTTTAATGCAAGTTCTCTTGGTTTCAATCAAATAAGAACAACATCTGGATCTCGGCTGATCAGAGATGAGATGTTATCCCTTAAAAGTTCTGGGGAATTTGGAGTTCAGTAATTTCCACTACTAATGTAAATATAAACAAACTGTTCAGATTACGCAATTGTGAGCCAATTTCAAATTACACACAGATCCAATCAGAGTATTTCACAAAAGGTATCCTTAAATATGATAAGATGTTGCATAAAACATTAGATCATAAAAAATAAAAAAACAAAAGGCATTTTAATTTTGTGGCAGAAATTATCTTTAATACGAATGTACTCTGTTTCTCCCTTCAGTCATCACACACAAAAAAAGTTGCTTATAATAATAATAATAATAATCCTTGCATTTGACATAGCGCCTTCTCACATCATTGAGATATCTAAAAGGCTCGATTATGGAAATTCCCTCATCGGCCTTCCCAACTCTTCCCTTCGCAAGCAGCACATCATCCAAAACTCTGCAGTTCATGTACTCTCACGCACCAGGCTCCGTGACCCCATCACTCCCACCCTCGCCCGACTTCACTGGCTCCCCATCCCTCAAAGGATCGAATTGTCCTCACTTTCAAGGCCATCCATGGCCTTGCCCCCTCCTACCTCGCTGACCTGCTGACTCCCTACCAACCCTACCGCTCGCTACGTTCAGCGGGCTCCTGCATGCTCCATGTCTCCCGCCCAACTATCGCTGGCTGGGCTTTCAGCCTCTCTACCCCCACACTTTAGAACTCCATCCCATGGTCCCTTCACCTCGCTTGCTCCCTTGCCTCCTTCAAGGCCAGTCTCAAGACCCTCCTCTTCGATCGTGCCTTCGGTCACCCTCCCACCTCTCTGCCTTCCCTCACCCCTACCCCACCCCTCCCCCATGCTCGGGCCTGACCCCTGACTGTCCAGCGCCTTATGACATCCTCCCGACATGAAAGGCGCAGCAAGTGGTTGCTTTAACAAGTTCGACAGAATAAAAACAAATGTATTAAATTGTTTAAAACCGAGACATGTACAGCAATTCAGGTTACCTTGTTTCTCTTGTCACGGACTTCCTTCGGGTCTGTGTTTAATGGAACAAACTGGTTAGGATCTTCAATCTTGATTGGTGTCCCACTGCTGATTTTTGAAGGATCGGCTGCCTTCATCCACTAACAAAGAAAAGAACCCCGGTTACATGGTGTTGATAATAACTGACTGGTGACCTACCTCTGCGACCTGCTACGCCTATGCTACCCTGAATACTCTCTCCATTCAGCAGACTCTGGCCTGCTCCAAGTCCCCTGCCAACCCCACCAATAGCGGTCGGGCTTTCAAGCCTCTCTGCCCCCACCCTTTGGAACGCCATCCCTTTGCTTCTCCTCCTCCCTTGCCTCCTTCAAGGCCCGTTTCGAGACCCTCTTTTTCAACCACCCCTTCGGTCACCCGCCTAACCCCACCCTCCCTGCCCTCCACCCCTCCTGATCCCAACCCCCAGCTCAGGTGCAAATTCTTGACTGCCTAGCACCTTGGAATGTCCTCCTGACGTGAAAGGCGTTATACAAATGCGATAAAGAAGATGGTGGGATTCTGTGTTTCTCCCTTTGCCATGAGCCAGCAGGACTGTCCCAGTTTCAGTTGTGTGTCCTCAGAGCCAGAGTGGAAAAGTTGGTTCAAAATATTTACGATTTTCCTAATGATTGAAATCTCAGGTTTGACACTTAACCTCCTAAAGCACTGCTAACTAAGGAAACATACACTGCATTTCCACACAGGATGACCACCTCCGTGTGAATTTATTAGTCAAAGTTACTGTGGGCAGGATAGGAACTTTCCACCCATGCTTCCTGAGACTGCAGTGTATAAACCAGTGTAGTGCTGCAACACCCCGCTGCATTTCAACTCTGGGATACAATTAATTGAGGAAAGTGAATAATAATAATCATAATTCTTGCATTGGTGAAGTGCCTTATCGCACCATCGAGACATCTCATAGAACTTCATAGGATACACTATATAATGAATTGACTGTATTTTGCGGGCAAAATGCGATAGCCAGTTTGTGCGCAGCAATGTCCCACAAGCAGCCAAGGAGTGAGTGACCAATTTTATTCAGGCAATTGTTGGCCAGGAAACTGGGAGAAACTTATTTTGAATAGTCCCAAGGGATATTTAACGTCACCAAAACAGGCAGACGGGACTTCAGTTTAACATCTCACACGAACGATGATATTATAATAGGTGATAGCATTCTGGGATGCTACCCGGCGTGAAGGACGCCATATAAATGCAAGTTGTTGTTGTTAATAGCATGAGACCTGTTGGTTAGGACAGGTAAATCAGGCATTCTTAGTTGAGGTGTGCTTTAAAATCCAAGTAATGCCATGGCATGTACTGTTAAGATAAATAATTTAAAATGGGGGATATTTACTTAAAATAAACTATAGTTTATAAAATAAGCTATAGTTTATAAAATAAACAAGTTTGTTTTCAGACAGATTACAATTCTTACATACCCTAAGCCCCATGGAAGAGTTGCAGAAGGAAGGTGTGGGAAGTGCTTTTATAAATGTTTATACATTTCGTCACCATGAATCATGTTTTACTGAACTCATTAAGTACCCATCCAGGCCCACAAAGGGAAGTTTCCTGGCACTTGAGGCAATGGAAAGCATTGTTGGTGGAAGCTATGTACAAGGAGTCAATTTGCAGCTGGAAGGCGACCACAGGAAAATAGAACAGCTTCAGCTGAAGGGGCAGAAACGGGGCAGTTAGCAAAGAAATATAGGGACTGGACAATTGTTCAAGGGAATGTGCGAGGAGTCGAGAGTTTATATTTTTATCGTGAACGATCCAAGTGTATGGTGGAGTACTTCTATGCTTTAACATTTATAAATAAGCAAGTTAGCAACAGTTTAAAACATGATCCTACATCAAAATCATTAAATTAAAGAAAAGGTTTGATTTTATTTCAAGTGCTCTGGGACACGAGGGGCGCAACTTTAATGCAAGTTGTTGTTGTTTGAGGCCAGTGAGTAATAGTCATTTTGCCGTCTGTATCAAGCAGTTGAAATGATTCAAATGTATCACCAGAGGGAGCTACTGCTCAGTAAACCAGCAATTCAAGGCTATAACCCTACAGTCTTGAGAAGTTTCAGGTATCACAGATGTACGCGACAGGAAAACATAGTCCCTATTGTTCTGACCCACCAGTTCGGTTTGGTGAACTCTCCTGGGGTTGTACTTGTAGTCATGAAGATCCTGTCTCACACAAATACCAAGTTTGTCCTCAAATATTTAACGCTTCAACTCAAAGGAATTGTGGTCAGGGTTACGGGCAGACGAGTGAATTATGAACCCTTCCCGCAAACTCAAATCCAGTTTCCCTTTGTCAGATGGTTGTGATTTTACTTAGTTGATTAAAATCACTGCAATAAAAGTAGATGCCCGATAACATTAATGTGTTGAATGGACCCAGATGTGCTTGTCGTGGACACCGTTCACAATGACCCTTGGCAAGAGGCCTCTGACTCACAGCATTGAACTTCCTGCTTGCGGAGACTGGCTTCGATAGTAAACAAGTTAAAAAGTCAGCTTTCCGCCAACCGTAAGGGGATGTGTCCAAAGCCATGGTCCAGTTTCTCGGACCGCAATGAGTACAGTGACAGTGGGCATGCGCAGGGGCTTGCAACACACGCATATCGAATTTCATTCGATACGTTAAATAGGAATGGTCCTCTTCACTGATTCCATTGTGTGTATAATGAATAGTGTTTAGTGATAAAAACGCAATTATTTTATCAAGAGCTTTAGCATATCATAATCTGCGAGAGTTAAGGTTGAGTAGTTTATAGCTATCACCTGAACCCTCGATTAGATTACAAAATGCTCCATATTATTGACGTGCAGAGCAATTTACACTGTACATTGAACAATTGTCACATCATTGCCAGACAACAAAGGGATCCACAGTCAACCCCCGGCCAGGATATTCTATGGCCAGAATATGGCAAAAAAAAGATAAATCCAAAACCCACACTGAATGTTGAATAAGTATAGAATATACCGTTCATTGTAACAACTAAACTTTTTTCAGGCTTATCACCAAAAATCTGGATTTCTCCCCCACATCCATAGGATTTTATTGACAATCGGGTGACTGTTCATAACCCTCTAACTTACTGTGGTTTTGGTCCTGGGACTGCTCTCACCGCTGGGAGATTCCCCTGGCACGTTGACTTTCATGTAGGTATTGGGAGAGTTCAGCCATCTTGTCTTCTCACGCTGCTGCTTCTGTGCCAGGTACTTGAGGGGAGAACGCTGAAGAGCATCATCTTCAAAGGAGAAGGCTGTGACGGTGGCCGGGATCTCCACCTCGCTTCTGTGTCGTTGCTTTTCTCTTAGAATGGGCTGCCTGTAGGTGTAGCCAGTTCTGTAGCCCTGCAAAAAACAATTGAGAAGCCAATACTTAATAACATTAATCCTTGTATTTGATATAGAGCCTTTATCGTGCTGTTGAGACGTCTCAAAGCACTTCACAGAATATACTGTAAAGTGGATTGACTGTGGATTTTGTCGGCAAAATGCGGCAGCCATTTGCATACGGCAGTGTTCCACAAAGGCGTGGATTGACCAAATCGTTGACCAAATTATTAATATTTTTGAAGGCTTTATTACCCCTGGAAAATCAATCTGCCAACCGGGTTCCTACTTATTGCTAGGTAAACAGAGGTGTATGGAGTAAGGAAATTTGCCTAAGGTTTCGCCTCGCCTGAGAATCAAACCTCTTAGTTAGAGCAGCTTTATCAGGTCAGCACAAAGCCATCATAAAAATAAGCCCTGATCAGCCAGTGGAAAGTACACTCAGAACTTTATACTGCAGGAGGGTACTGAAGACTGCTAGATCACTAATAGGTATTCCCTCCCCTCTTCATATTTCCTCAGGAGCTTCCTTATTTTCCTCCTTTCAGATGCCCTTTAATGCTTGTCGGGGCGGGGGAGCGCATGGGTGGGGGGCGGGCGGGCGATGGGGGGGATAAGCAAGGTCTCCTTGGAGCTGAAATGACTCCAAGATGGCATACTTGGCAATGGATCGTCAGAATTGAGCCAGCCCTTTGTGACGGTCTCTAATCCGGTTCCTGAGCCAGACGGGTCCACAATATTTCAGGGCACTTCTGATGACAGCACAGACCAGGTTCATCGTCAGGACATGGAAGGGCAGACCAGTCACTGGGGGTGGAGAATCATCCCACTCAGCTCCTGTTAACCCTGCAAGCCAAAGGCTCTCTAATTTCCAAGGTTATCCTTATTCCCTTTTTTATGAATTTGAGTTATGTTTCCCTACTTAACTTCTCCAAGCTCATATACTATAAAAATATCCACCCTGATAAGAATTTTTTTTTAGCCTCTGTCAAATATTAGCATTCAGTCCCGTCCAGAACCGCTGCCCATCAAAGTCATTTGTCTTAAAAAAAGGAAGTCAATTAAGTAAATGCTGTGAAAGTCTGCACTTTGCATCAATCGTATCACTCCCATAATGTACTCACCAGATTGTCCAGCATTCTCATCATAGCTTCAAACTCCTGCTCTCCAATTTTCCACTTGGCCAATGCTCCCATGTTGACTCCTTCAATAGCCACTTTGTGCGTGAAAGGCTTCATCTTTTCCAGATCCAACAGCACTAAGTTATCCACTCCCCCGGCACTGGCAAGAGCCCGCACCTTCAAATAAAACCACTCGATTAAACACCTTGATTAGACACCTTGGTAGAACACCTTGGTTGGGCTGATGGGTTTTCCAAGTGTATTAAAAAACACCAGTTTTTATTTTAAAAAAATCAAAACTCATAACCCCAAAAGGCAGTTGCAGTTGAGAGACCATTAACGTGCGACAGTTATTGCAAAATACAGTGAGGCCTGGTATGGTTTGTGGTTACATTCTAATTTAAAACAGAAGCGATTTGTTTAGCATCAATTATATAAACTGATGCAAAACAGAAGCCTACAATGGTTAAAACGACAAGAGTTTTTAAACTGAAGTTCAATTTACAATCTAATCATAGTATCAATCTGAAGCGAACATGATAAACAAATAATGACTTTACTGTAGGACAGCTTCTGCGTCTATTAATATTACAATATATGGCATGCTATAGACAGTCGTGTATTGATAACATTCTGCTAAGGAAATAGAATCACCGACTGAAATAATTAAGGCTGCTGGGATCGTAGAGATTTCAGCACAGAAGGAAGCCATTTGGATGTTGTGTATCGCACGTAATCTTTAAACGCCTCTACAATGCTCAATCAGCTGTCAGTTTTACCAGCTGATTGCCAATTTACTACCCATCTGACCAGTTTAACACAGGAAAGCACTGTTTATTCAAAATAACAATGAATAATTTGTGAACAAAGCTCCACCAAAACCCAACGCAAAACAGCAACGGGAACCCATTACTGTGCAAAAAAAAACAATTCTGCTGAATTAACATTTGTTCAGTTCATTCTGTGTAATGAAGAAACTCTTGTTCAGAGCCCTGCTTCACTAATTCTGTGAATAAAGCCATTTTGAAAGAATAGGTTGCATCTAAAGCAATTATGACTAATTACTGTAGCCGGTTGATCTCGGCTTCAGAAGGGAACTTGCTTCTGGCCAGTTTGTCAGACAATGTAATCACCGACTCAAATAATTAACAAGCTGTATTTTCTGTTACATTACCAGAATCATTTGAAAGCTCCTCTCTCTCCCCCTCCCCCGGTCGGTGGTGAGTGTATTGCAGTTCCATAGATGCAGGCAGTTCCTCAATGCCTTTGATACCATGCCCAAGTGATTGCTTCAAGGGCCGTTTACCTGTTTCAACTGGAGTAAGGGCTAATGGAAAGAACTGCTCCCGATCAAACACCTACATACATGCACTTTCCAGCATGTGTCACTGGATAACAGTAAATATACTGATTAATAATCTCCCCCCTTCAACTTGGAGATAAACGCTTTCTCCTCTAACCCTTGCACCGCCTCGTGCGGTGTTCCTCAGGGCTCTGTCCTTGGTCCCCTCCTCTTCAATATATATATGCTCCCTCTTGGTGACATCATCCGCAGACATGGGGTCAACTTCCACATGTATGCGGATGACACCCAACTCTATCTCTCTGCCTCCACCCTCGACTCCAGGACCCACTACTGTTCTGACAGAATGTCTGTTAGACGTCAAGTCCTGGATGAGAGTTAACTTTCTTCACTTGAACGTCAACAAGACCGAGGCTCTCTTGATTGGCTCCCGTCAGCGCCTCCTCACCTAAGGCGCTGACAGCATCACCATCCAAATATACACAGTCCACCTCACTGAGCCATTCTGGAACCTTGATGTCTTGTTTGACCCTCAACTATCTTCTCTATCCCAAATCCGTGCCGTGACCCTCTCTGCCTTACCCCACCTCCCCTCTGGCTTTTTCCTTGTACTTTGGTGGCTTTCACAACCTGACCTCTCAGGCTGCTTTTGAGAATCTCAAATTAGTACTGCTCATCCCTGTTGCGAATATTGCAAATGACACCCAATTGTATTATTGTAATACCTCAGCACCGATCAGGGATCAAACTTGATTGGTATCTTCCTGATCTGAAAAGCTAATGCAGCATATTACTTTTCAAACCACCAATAATCATGTGTACATCACGGGTTAAAACTAAGCAACTTTACGGTAAAATGTGCTATATAAGCAGTATGTCAGCGTATCCAGAGTGACACATATCAATAGTTGCATTACCTGGATTTCGCAGGCAAACTGAACAGTATAGGCATAGAGAAAGGCCTCTTCTATGGATTCACCAAGTGCTACCACTCCATGGTTCCTAAGAACCAATATCTGAAGATAAAACAAGAATTAGAAATGGCAACAGTTAATAACATACTCCAGGCTAAGGTTCATTTTAATGCATTGCAATTACAGTCACTCCACTTTACAATATATCCCATGAAGCGCTTCCAGATGTCTCAATGACGTGATCAGGCGCTATATTAAATGCAAGGTTCATTATTATTATTATTAATAAAATCATTGCAAACCAAAAAAAACCCAAATTGTTTTGAAGCGACATGCCACAATCTCATTGAAACTAATATTAAAATAAGTGCGAATTAATTCTAAAGGTGCATACCTGTTTAATAGCGTAACAGAAGATTGTTAATCAGCACAGGTAAGAAGTGCTCATTTTAATAATAATAATCCTTGTATTTGATAAAGCGCCTTATCACGTTGAGACATCTCAAAGTGCTTCACAGAATATACTGTAAAGTGGATTGACTGTGTATTTTGTGGGTGAAACGCGGCAGCCAATTGCACACAGCGGTGTCCTACAAACAGTCGTGGATTGAGTGCCTAAATGATTATTTTTTTCAGAGGGATTATTACCCCCGGAAAGTGAACTTGGGACAATTCAGGTTGCTAAGGAATCAGAGCCACTTCACAGTGGTGTTTGCCATCAGGGAAGCCAAAACCACAGAATCACATTAGATTCTGAATGGGTTTATGCTTCTCACGACCAGTTGCCCGGTCTCAAGGAAGCACTCGAGGAAGTCATAAATTGGACCGCTGTTTGCTTGACGCTACTACTGTGGATGGAGTGGCTCCAGTCATGCATGCGTGGCGCGGAGAGTGGAAGTGGTGCAAGCGAAAAATCGGCTTTGCCCAGCGGAAATTAACACTTTTAGTATTTTAAACATAACTACACGTTCAGGAAATATATGCCTATAGTTTTCATCCGGGTTGTTTCACAAAATGCGTGAATACCTCAATACCACCAATCAACCCTTTGCAATTTTCTGCAAAGCTTACTGAAAGTCCTCCACAATTTCGCGCAAATGTTTCCGCAGTTTTCTATTGGCCCAGGTCATAACCTTTACCTTGCAAGTTGTGCCGAGACACTTTTGGAGCTGAGACCTGTCACTCTCGTCGTCCAGTGAACCGTGATAATCGTGGTACGCCACATCACCCAGAATCAAGGCTTCTTGGGAAATTGGCAGGATTCCGCACCTCATAGTGGAAACCTTGTGAGTGTTGAGAAAAGATACATTAGGTCGCCGAAAGGAATAATGAGAAATATTGCAATGTTTTTAAAAAAGCAAAGAGGAATCATTACTTACAGCGGCAGCTGCCGGGGTGTGTATATGTATGGCACATCGAACATCAGGCCTTATTGCATAGATAGCAGCGTGAGGACTGAATGCTCCGTGGTCAATGCGGAGAGTTGTGCTGCCTTGATCCACCACTTCGCCGATAATATTAATTTTCACCTATTTAGAGCCAATACATGCTTTGGTGAGCATTTATGAACCCCATCACAACATTATTTCTCAATCAAGAATTGACAACAATAATAATAAACCTTGCATTTGACGTAGCACTTTATCACGTTGTTGAGGCGTCTCAAAATGCTTCACAGAATATACTGTAAAGTGAACAGACTGTATATTTTATGGGCAAATGCTTTGGAATAAAATGAATCATACACACGATGAAACATGTCCCATTAACAATATAATATAACAGTCTCAAATTTAAACAAAACAAGTTACACAACATGGACTTAATTACAATGTGCTAGTTTAACCACAAACATGCACACAGGGTTCAGAAAAACAGTGAAATCCAAACTTCCGAAGCTCATCATTCAAAGTGTTTTCAAACAATGAAAAGGAAAAGTTCAACGTGTAAACTTATCCCGGAATCAATGTTTGTTGGCGTGTCCTTTCATGTTTTATAAACTGGATTGAAAATTTTCAAGACTGATGAAACAAACTATTGAGTGAAAGAAACATAACAATAACAATTAGTTGAGGAACATCTGTACAATTCAAAAGAAAAAACTCCCACTGGGGTCAATGATAAATGATATACAATAGTGATGACTGGACTGAAATAAAACACATTACTGTATTTAGGTCACCCAGAAAGCGTCAATGAGCCATAAATTGGGGTTGTCTAAGGTTTCACTGGCATGGTTTTTACTGAAGCATGTCTATAATTATCAATCTGTAATTATCAGCGGTTTTCAGACTGTTCACATTTTCACACTTTGAAATGTAATAGTGTGACTGTGCTTACGATTGCTGCTTTCTTACCCCCTGCTCAACAAATACAGTTGGTATTGCTAACGTGTAAAGTCTAAGCTTAACCTGGCCTTGTAAAATTACTGCCCTTCCAGGGAAAAAGTACAACACGCTGCCAACAAGCATTGTGCAATTAGTTTATTTTGTCCATGGTATTGTGAAATTTTAAATGGAGAAAATATTGTGCGAGACCAAATGAGTCAGATTTTCCATGTGAAAGGAATGAGCAGAAGGAATGAATGACTCTCTCAGCTGCACGATTGAAATTTAAAATAGCTGAACAATAGTAGAAACTATACAAATTATAAGCTTGGAATTACTGTTGCACCTTGATGGCTATCATCGATTAAGATGAAATGGCTTTGTTAATTAACTAATTTAGATTAAGAACTCAGGACCAGTTGTGTATGTGGCCCACAAAGTATGCCCCAGGGTGTCACAGACAAGCAGTTCTAAGGCAAAAAAACTGCACTGAGAAGAAACTGACTGAGACACACCAGTAAAAGTGGTGTCCTGTAGCTTAGCGGTTAGAGCACTCGCCTCGCAAGTGAGAGGACCTGGGTTCGATTCCCGGGCAGGGCGAAATGTGGGGCTCGTTTCCTTACTCCACATGCCTCTATTTACCCAGCAGTAAGTAGGAACCTGGCTGTTAGTCAATTTCCGAATCGCTTTTCAGGGGGCAATAATCCCCTAAAAAAAAATGTGGTCACTCAACCCACAACTGTATGTGGGACACCACTGTGCACAATTGGCTGCCATGTTTCACCCGCAAAATATACAGTCAATTCACTACAGTATATTCTGTGAAGTGCCTTGAAACGTCTTGAAGATGTGATAAAGCGCTATATCAAATGCAAAGATTATTCATTGTAACAGTGGGGAATTCTCCTTTTATGACCATTTACGTTACGTTGCAATACGCTGTATCTCTCTCGTAAATTATAAAAAGACCCCAGGTAAAATAGCCTTTGTGAATGAAGAATCTGTAGATTTCTAACCAGATGTTGCAACAGAATCTTTTGAACAGGAAATCTTTCACCGTTTTCTAAATTCTTTCCAGAGCTGTATCATATGACACGCAAACTTACAAGGTTAGAAGCTGTGGCTTCAGAATACGACAGGCCCCTGGGAACAATGAGAAAGTGATCGTGTTCCTTGCTTACTCTAACCTGAGGGGCACAAAAAGAATTAAAATGTCATTAGGACACCATTTGCACAAAATGATCAGAGCTGTGAGGTTGCTAATTTTTCACCAATGTACAGAGTAAGATTCAAGCATATACAGGATATTATGGAGTCCTGTAGCTCAGTGGTTAGAGCGCTCGCTTTGCAAGCGAGAGACCTGAGTTCAATTCCAGGCAGAGGGCGAAACCTTGGGCAAGTTTCCTTACTCCACACAGAGCCTAATAATAATCCCTCCAAAACCAAAAACAATAATAAATTGGTCATTTTCAATCTACGACTGTTTGTGGGACATTGCTGTGCGCAATTGGCTGCCGCGTTCGCCCACAAATATACAGTCAAATCACTTTACAGTGTGTTCTGTGAAGCGCTTTGGGACGTCCTCCCGACATGAAAAGTGCTATATCAAATGCAAGGATTATTATTATTATTATAATGTGGTATTCTGGGTACATAAAATTTAACCCCAGGAAGTTACGAGTCCCACTTGCAGATCATGGAATCTCATGCCCAGCATGGACTAGCGAGCTTGCTGAGCTTGCGTGCAGGAAGCGGTGGATCAGCACCAATTGCGATCATGAGCGTTTCTCAGTGCTAGAAATGCTTGCAAAGCAGTTTGGGATAATTGTCTGGCTGCCTGCAACCGGCGTAGAAAGCCTGCCAATTATAGTTAACAATTTTCCAAATGGAGGGTATTTCTGAACTCACTATTCCCTAAAATATCTTGCTATTGAAGGTCTATGATATAGCATTGAAGCCAGTCATGTTACATGCTTGTTTGTAGGTGCATATGCTAGGATTGAATACAAGACAGATAATGAAACAAAAATTAATCATTATTAAATAAATAGTTGCATTTTAAGCAACAACTTCTAATAGACCTAACTTATAATAATAATGATCAGTTAGTTATAACACAGAAACCAGCCAGATAAAGTTCGCATTTGAACACAGGAATAGACAACAACTTGGATTTATATAGTGTCCTCCACGCCGGACGGCGTCTCAGAGCGCTTCACAGTAACGGATCCCGGGGCCGTTTACATTGCACAGAACTGTAGCTACAAAATTAAGCACTGGCTCAGATAACTAATTCCCTTGATTATGTTTTTACTTAATGCTGTAACCTCAGAATGCTTTGCCTGGTAGCAAAATCAAAAAGGCCACGAGCAGCACTCAGTCAGGAAGGGGGACGACACAAGAACTCACTGTTAAGTGACCAATAGGTTGCCAAATAACTTCCTGAATTTTAGGGGTAGGATTTAGCATTACTTCCGAAAGGAAGCAAAATGTTTCTCAGTAATGACACGCTAACCCTAAATTATAAATTGATTCACATGCTAGTGAGGTAAAAGGAGCTTGCTACAAAAAGTAAATCGGTTTCTGAGACACAAACTTACCGTGATATAGGTGCTAGCTAAATGTGCCCATCCAAATAGATCTAATACTCTGTATAGGCTTGCGATTTTACACCGAGTCAACTTCTCCCTTTCACGAAAGAAGCGGATTCCACACCACGTAGATCATTGATGGGCGTGACTGTTCCCAGACCTTAAGAGAAAATATTAGAAAATACGACAGTATTCATCAGACAAGGCCTTCAAGATGTAGGTCATAGTTAAGAAATACATTTACGTATTTCAGGCACTTACTCAATTGGGCTGTTGGTAATGAGGTAACAGAACTTGCCATTACAAAATCTGCTATCTGTCGTAAGGCAAGGAGACCTGCAGGGTTATTACCCTTTTTCATTTGTTCTTGAATGAGGGCCTCAAGCTCATCTCTGAAGGCCTAAAAATAAACACAAATGTTTTAAGTGGACATCCTCATGGACAGTTAAACAGACATTAAATATCATGAGACAAAATGCACGAGACAAACCATAAGTCACTTCGGAATTACTCCATTGCACTTCTTGGAGATATTTAACATGCTTCCCGGCTGGATGTGACATACTGTCATTTATTTACATTATACAATCAGAACCAATATGTGTGTTGTGGAATTATTTAATAGACACTGTTGTCCTTGGTGTTTTTTAATTTAAAAACACATATTGCTACACAATTAGCACAGCATCTAAGAAAATCTTACTTAAGTCAGTTAATATCAAGGAATGTACCACTTGTGCGATACATGCAAATTAGCAGCTCATATAATGTGCTTCAGATTCTGTCACGAGCTGAACATTCAAAGCCAAACAGAGCACTTCATTAAGACATCCATTTATTATGCGCCTTCAGCATTTCAACAGTCAACTCATAACTCACTAGCACTGATGAAAGATATTGCATTTCTAAATGTAACAAAACAGTAAAATTGTATAATTAGAATCTGAAATGAAATGACATTTATTTATAAGCAGTGTTTCTGTAACAGAAACATAGCTTCAAGCAATAGATTGATTTCTATTTGGGGGGGGGGGAAGAAAAGAGAGAAACATTACTCAGAAACAATTTTAAAACAAACTATCTCCCTTCTATATCAAAATATTCTGTGCTTTCAAAATACACTGATACTAAATTGTGCATCTGTCAAGCGGTTTGATACATCCTCCCGACATGAAAGGCACTAAAACTACAAGCACTCCGGGACGCTACCCTGCGTGAAGGCTGCTATATAAATGCAAGTTGTTGTTATAACAAATGTAAAGAGTAGCATTATTGTAGAGTAATGCAGATCATTCGATTCAGCTCTAACATTCCTTTCAGAAAATGATGCCTAAATAGTCTGGTTAGAGTTGGCACAATTGTGCATTGGAACTCAGGTGGTAAGTTATGGAGTGACACTCATGACCACCGAAGACAATGAGGTCTTGATCTCAGCTACACAAGTATTACGTGGAAGGCAGAATCTTTCTTGTACGGAGGAAAATTTAAGGGCCAGTCGTCCCAGTCTGTATTTAAGGGCAAATGCCTGGAAGCAGATTTAAAAGTGTTTTTTCAGACACAGGGAATGACAAAGAGGGAAAGTACGGCGCCATAACTTTTACAAAAAAGGAGGGAAACTTTAAGGTGTTTTGACCTTTGCCTCTTCCTTTCTTGTTGACTCCACTCACTACAATCTTCACGTCCTCCACACCCAGTGGTACGGCTGAAATTAGAAATTTACTTTAGGGGTGGGAAGAATGGGGACAATCACTTTGGAGGCACAAATCAATGTCCCGGAATTTCACAGTGCAATGAAAAGGATTGCTTTTACAACATACAATCCCATGTGTTACCTCAAGATTGTTTTGGGGTGAGAGGAGTAAGGAAAACGTGATGGTTAAATTAAAGAAAACTTGAAAGACTTCAGTATTACTGTAAAACTTCTGCTTAAAAAAAATGAATGACCCAACATTACTTTCTTAGAGACCACAATCAAAATTGCACCTTAAATATTACTAACGAGGGGAGATTATTCCTTCAAAAATAAAATGATAATTTGGACACTCAATCCAAGACTGTTTGTGAGACATTGCTGTGCGTAATTGGCTGCTGCATTTCTCCCATAAAATATAGTCAATTCACTTTACAGTATATTCTGTGAAGCGCTTTGAGATAAGGCGCTACATCAAATGCAAGGCTTATTATTATACACATATTACATGTATTAGTAAACTCACAAATGTGATGGTTCCTGCAATTTTAGGTTTCCATTTCAGTGGGATAAACTGAAAGATTTTACAGAGCTGAAGGCAAGAACTGAACAAATTAAAATCAAGACTTTTCTGCCAATATTCCAAATTGAAGCATGTGGGTTAGAATACAAGCCAAAAATAAAGAAGCATTACTCAACGGAACCCATCTTGGAAGTACATTGAACTGTTTCGCTTGAATGAAAAGCAGACATCATTTGTTACAAGCACTTGTAGCACTAAAACATTGCTGGCAAGAATAGTTTTAGCTGGAAACAGAACTATCAATGTTAGAAATAAAAACATTTACGCAATCTCGTACCACTGTCGATGTCTGAAGGAAGTCTAGAATCGTTACACTCTCAATGTTATGGTGAAATGAAAAGGAAGAAGTGCGAGATCATATAAATCATATTAATAATTAACATGAAAGCTATTACATATCGTCTGAACACAAATTTTGTATCAGGCACTTTCTACTACAGATCGACAATTACTTACAGAAGAGCATTAACAGCCAAATGTCACCACAACTGCTAACATTAGTCAGAGACAAACTCGCCTCAGTGACTTTCCAGGTTGTGCCTTGGGTTCGTCTGGAAGGTGAGCTTTATACCCTGAAGCGGGCTTCATTGAAAGGCAACTGAATAGACAATAAATTTCTATCTGATCCAAAGATTTATTGCGGTAATTTTTCTGTTTGTACTGTACTAAAAGGGAAGGATCGAACTTTGACCCAACGCGTATATCTGGGCAAAGTAGGCAATGAGATTGTATTCACACCTACCAGCCGAACCAGCTCTGAAGCAGACAGCATAATACAGTACATGAACCCCAAGGAAAAGCCACAACATGAAATCTCAGTCCAGATCCCTTTATCCTTAGTGCAATGTAGAGAAATGTAGGGGAAGCAGATTATAACAAGAAATAGCAAATAGGTGCACAAATGACGGGGTGTATATTAGCAGAGGTAAATAAGGAAAGGATCCGGGTGTAATTATTGATCTTTCACTGAAGGTCAACAGAAGCAGCTGTCAACCAACCCAAACAAAATACAAGATTGTGAGTCAATTTGAGAGATTTATAAAATTATAAAGCCCTTAAGCAGTGCTGGAGGTTAGAACATTTTTATCCCTCACATTGTGGAAATGTAGAACTCACTCCCAATAAAAGTAACCCACACTGGTGTTGAGGAACCCCTTTAAATACGTCCTTCAGATAAGACATTAAAATGAGGCACCAACTGCCTGTTCAGGTGGATGTTAAAAATACCAATGCACTCTTCGAAATGAGAAGGAAGTTTCTTCCAGTCTCCTAGACAATCTTTCCAATTAATTGGTCATTCACTTAATGGCTATTGGTGAGATCCTCTGTGGACAAACTTTGTCCACAGAAAAGTCTCACTTAGCTGTAATTATCCTGTAAGGTGCTTGGAAACATTTCAAACCCAGGTCTTCTCGCTCGCGAGGCGAGTGCTCTAACCACTGAGCTATTGGACTCCATGGTGAAGAAGATGGGTTACAGGAATATTCTGGGGCTGTTTGCTCAATTACATTTGAAGAACAGATTCAGTACAGCTGTTGGAGGAGGTGAAGTGTAATCCAAAGGAACAGGTCTATGGAACAAACAGACTGAATGACCACAATAAAATTACATTTGTACAGTGCCTTTCGAAGGAGGGTGACCGAAGGCACGGTCGAAGAGAGTCTTGAGAAGGTTATGAAGGAAGCAAGGAAGGGAGTGAGGGTCAGGTTTATTAGACAAGAGAACAGTATTCTCTTGTTCATTGCTTCACCGATTTACATTCTTAAGTTTCATCAGCTCTACTCCAGGTCACTAAATGGATTATTGGGTGGTAGCACAGTGTTCCATTTCAGGTAGAAGAAATCTCATCCCATTACAAAGCAGCACAACCAGTGAGTTCAGCGGAATCTACAACATCCATCATCCTTGCTATTTTGGATGAAAAGCAAAAATTGAGCAGTAAGGGTAAAAGAAAAGGCTATGAAATCTGTGTGATCTCACTTGCTTTCTATTTTATGTCTCCATGAACACTCACTGTTCTCTGCCTTTGGCTCTGCAAGAAGAAGTGTCCCACGACTGGTTGCAGAAGCTTTAAAGGAGAAATCAACGTTTCATTGGTAAAAGGGCGATATAACTGTCATGACATTGTAACATGAGAGGTCGTTGAGCCTGTTTGATCGGTTTATTAAATCAGGGCAGATCTTTTAATCCCAGTTTTCTGTTTTTCTCCTTACCCCAATACTCTTGCTTCCTAAATATTGATCTAACTTCTTTTAGTTATTCGAATATATTTTGCTCTATAGATAATGGTGTGTATAAACACACACACGTATACACACACCCACACAAAAACACAAATGGTTTTGTAATGCTTAAATTTAAACTAGTGACTGAATGCTGGTGTGAAGTGCCACAGATGCTGGTAACTGTCAAGATAATTGACCATTCTATAAATGCAAACGTGCTGAGACTCGCTGGTTAAACTATGTGACCACAGGGGTGGAGAACAATTGGGCAGTATATCTGATTCCAACCATTTCCTCATCACCACATCTACACACATGTCTGGTTACAGCTTGGGTGGGGGGAGTGAGAGGATGATTTCCTTTCCTGCTCCAGCTCAGGAACAGTAAGGGAAACTGAAACTGTCATTAAACAAAACCAGTCAAGAACAACAAATTCTTTGTGTATAATACTTTTCATGTCGGGAGGACATATCAAGGCGATGGACAGTTAAGGATTTGCGCCTGAGCTGGGGATTGGGATACAATATAAAATTACATTTGTAATGCACCTTTCATATCGGGAGGACGTACCAAGGCATGGGAATCTTTGGACATCCCAAGGTGCTGGGATCAGGAGGGATGGTGATCGAAGGCGCAGTTGAAGAGGAGGGACTTGAGATGGGCCTTGAAGGAGGCAAGGGTAGGGGGTGGGGTGAGGCAAAGGGACTCTGGGATGGAGTTCCACAGGGTGATGGCAGAAAGCTCGACCGCCTATGGTGGGGCGGACTGGGGACATGTAGGAGACCAGAGTCTGCTGAGCGGAGGGAGCGGACAGGTCGGTTTGGAGACGTCACAGATCAAGCATGAATACAAACTTCCTGAGCTGTGTATTTAACCACCATGATAGGTAGTGCAAAACATCA